CAAATCATAACTGTTAAAAACAAGTGATATTCTCATTGAGTTAAAAAGGCGGCACAAATTTGGGTGTCAGACGGTCAATTTGTTCTTCTAAAGGCCATAGTATTTTGCAAAGTTTAAAATACTTGTGTGGTTTTGATTTTTTTATGTTTAAAAAGCAAAAAGCAAGAAAGTTTACAAAGCATTTTGTGTTTGAAAGCTCTGAGAAGAAGTGGCCTAAACTCAGAAAAACTTGATTACGCTGCAAAAATTATAGTCCTTCAGTTCCATAGGAAATGCTTAACAGAAAGTACATTCATTGATGTCAACTAGGATTTCATTAAAAAAAGTTTATGTAGTTGGTAATATGATTTATAATAAAACTAAGGCTCAGGTCAAATGTCGAACTTCACATGAGCCGAACCTAATTACATAAAAGAATACTGCCTTGTTATCCATTGTTTAAATTAGGTTCGGTTCATGTGAAGTTCGACGTTTGACCTGAGCCTTATAGACCTTTTTGGCTTTGGGCGTAATGTTTTCCTATTTCAGACCATGTGTCAGATTCTTTGTTTGAGTTGTATCCATATTCATGTGTTTTCTCATGCACAACCGTTAAACAAAGAAATGATAGTCTTGGGAATTATGACACATCAAGTCTGAAATGGGACAATATTATGCCCAAGCTGAGAAGATCTATTGATCAGAGTTTGAGCAGTACCATTCATCCATTCATCTTATCCGATCAATGATGCAGTTGTATTCTAAACATTTTGTAGCATGTTGTTTGTGGGAAATGTGAATTCCTGCTCCATGGTGACTAATTCGATCACTATAGAGGCTTTACACTATCACGTGATGGCAGCCATATGACAGGAGGCAGGAACAATTGAATCTGGTCTAATGTGATTTACATGAGAAAGAATTCAGTTTACCAGGGGAGAAGACTCTATTGTTGTGCCTCCAATCCTGTCATGGCTACCATCATGTGATGGTGCAAAGTCTCTAATGTGGGAGTCGGAATTTGAGGGTTTACTAAAGTAGACAAAAAAAAGAAATTGAAGAGTAAAAAATATGCCAAAAGTTCATGATAATTGTTGGTGGACGTGCCACTAATAGGTTGGGTGCACCCCATGCATAAGGATAAAAGCACATAATTGGCATGGCTGCTATTAATGTTGGTTGACATGACAAAAGACACCAAGACAAAATATTTTGTTAAAGTCAACCAACATGGCATAGGGGCTCTGACATCACATACATGCACCTCAAGAATAAGCTAGTTTAGGATATATCTTAAATATGTATTGATTTTATATACAGCAAATTTAAAAGCATTACATCAAAGTCATGGAAGAACCCAGCTCAAGTTCCCCAGTTACACAACTTGATGATAGGGATCTTCAAGAAGGGTATACCACAAGTGGGAAAAAGGTAACACAGGAAACTACTCACCGTTCAGAAAAAGGACAACTAGTAGTGCAGCCTACAGATAGCCCATCCTTTCACCCACCCAATCATCCACGAAAGTCAGATCACCTGGAGAAGGATTCGGTGCAAGTCACCACAAAATGTACAGCTATCTCAAAAGAAGGACATCAAAGGCTTCCCCCTGAAGAAAATTCATTTGAAGAACCCAAAGATGGCTCTATCAAAGATTCCCATGTTGGCTCCCATAAAGATTTACCAAAAGTTGAACCTATTCCGAACAATGATGTTAACGATGAAGATTTCCAAGAACCCACATTTTGCCCCAGAGATAAGAAGAGTGATGGGCTGCAACAGCATACCTGTATGCAATGCCCAAACATTTCACGTGGAGATTTGATAGCTATCCCAAAATTGTGGGGTTTATACTACCACGATATGATTTATATAGGAGATGGGGATGTTGTGCACCGAACAGGCGGAATACGCGACTGGCTCCACTTTAAAAAAGTAAGAATCAAAAGGGAAAAGCTTGCTGACATCATACCATATAACCGCATGCCTACGTTGGTTATTGAAAATGGGTCATGGCAGGGTCATGACCCTCTACCCACAGACGAAATCCTCTGCCGAGCCAATTCAAAAATTGGCGAAAAAGGATATAATCTGTACTCAAAAAACTGTGAACACTTTGCTCGCTGGTGTCGATACAGGCAGGAAGTCAGCGAACAAGCAAACAACCTGCTATCTAAACAACAGGCAGTCAAAGCTGTATTATTTTCGTGGGCAAGTAATCAGCCCCTTGACCACCGCTATGGATTTCCCTTCCTACACGTAAGAGGTCATGCTGAAATACTTTAAGTTTTAAGCCTGAGTTCAAAACCATCCTTTTTAAGAAGGCTTACTTTCGATATATATTTCTATGCAAAGTTTTTTATGATCTTAATTTGCATTTGTAATTATATTAGTGTTGAAATTGAATGAAAATGAATTGTTGAAAATATTCGAATGTTATTATATTCCTTAACTTTTTATGCTAAATACTTGTAATGTAAAGCATTGTTGAACTCGAGCTCTCCAGGATATAGACGCTACATAAAATTTCATTATTTTTATTATTATTATTTAATATCTAATTTCTAAAGCGCCTCCACTATGAATATTCGATGGTTACAAAAACATTAATTGATTAAAACAACCACTTCAAACAGAACACATTTATTTAAACTTCTATGAGTGTTGACATTATTTTTGGCGCCATTAATCACGTGACAACAATCAATACTCAATATTGAACACATGACTATTTTTCGAAAATGTATAATATTAACTTAACTTTTAATTTTACTTCATGGTTTATTTAGAGTAGTATTGTATTAGAACAAATTATGTATTACTGATATATTACGCCAACTGCCACGGTCACGGTCCCCTGTAGACYGCCACAACGCTTGCTCGTCCAATCAAAATGCCTAGATAAGCCGACGTCACAGTTGGTCCTCCTTTTGTTCCTGTTCGACTGTACCGTAAGTTTTTTTACAATATAATCTAATCTGCTCTAAACCAATCACAGTAAATTACGCAAATGGTAACCCAATCAGAATGCGAAGACGCGGCACGGTAAAAAAAGTTCTGTTCCGTAACGTATTCTTGTCCTAGATTCTTACACAATATCTGAATTAGCAGCCATTTCGCTCGCACGCTGTCTATCAACCCATTCTTATTTACCCGTCTTCGCTTCCTTCTTCTCTATGCCTTTCTTTCACCTATTAAATACCCTAACACATCGTCTTTTTCTTCCACGTGAATGTAATACCATCTTAATATACTGTCACTCCTTAATGTTTTTTGTTTTTATGCTTTTGCACCAACGTTTTTCTACTCACGATTACCGCTTAAAACATGTTTTTAGAGTCATGACCTCAGTGAAAGATGATCTCGTGTTCTTCTTTTACTGCTTCAATTTCATCAAGCTTAGCAGTTTGAAGCACTATATTTTCACAAGCGGAAATTTGGTCGCTCATCAGTGCCTGGAGCGGAGTTATTGCCACCAAAAGAGGATTTTTAGGGTATCGACTAGTGTTTGGATCGATTTCTTGAAGATGTTTGATCATCGGAGTTACAAGCTGGAAAATAATTGACTTTGCATGACCTGTCGGCAGCGAAACAAACGGGTCTTTGGCATCCATAAAACTTTCTAGGGATTTCCTTTGATGAGTAATTGGTTGAAATTGATTTTTGTTTTGATAAAACGTGATATAGATCGCTTTCGAAATTACAGTTTGTGATACGATGCGGGCTCAATTTTGGTCATCGGCCATATTTTTTGTTTCGGCCCTCAGGCCGAAACAGTCACTACATTCGGTTTGCCGGACCATAATAGTCTCCGTGCGTGTCATTTAGCTGTCAGAGTTTTGGACCTAATCCAATCATATGCCGTTTCCATCATAAGCAATGGGAAAACGTAAAACATTTCACCATGCGGAGTATTTGGGAGAGTTGCGTGAATCTTCTCTGAGGTAGTTGTGTAGACTATATTATGCCCTTTCGCATGACGCCATTTTTTGGGAAAAAATATATTATTGATTAACCCTACGACAATGCGTATTTTATTCCTAAGTCAGTATCTAGGTCCAAGTCGCCAACTAGGTAAGTCATTGAAAAGTTATCCAAAAGCTTTTGTGATTGTGCGGCAACAGTCTCAGCTACCTGTGAGCATAAGCTGAGAAAACTGGTGAGTTTATCTATGTAACTAACAGTTGATGCATATATATTTTGTGAAGCAAGCTTCCGATATGTTGTAGCTTCATGCGCATCTGAGGACATGATTTTGCTATCAGCTATTATTTAAACTAGGTCCTAACAACCAGTGCGTACTTTACAACTTTAAAGATAGATTTCTATAAAATCATCAGTTTTCATTTATTAATACTCTGATTTAAAGTATAATTTCTTGGATTCGGTAATATTTTTGAAGCACCAAAAGATGTAAATTTTGAGTAGATTGGTGACGGCGCACTGGTCAAAGACAAGCCTTGTATCTTTCCGTTCGAATTGAGACTTTCGCATTTTCTTCAAGCTACGATATAAGAACTAAATACATTTACCATAAATGTCAAAGAGCAGAATGAAGGTTTAAAAAGTATCCTACATTCAACATAGCGCGTACAGTAATGCTCATCTATGTGCTCATGTGCCAAAATATTTTGCACCAAGTACTCTGCTCTCTGCGATATACTATACTCAATCATTGTTTATATCTATTGTCGGATCTCTCATTCGTTCGGCGAGACGTTATATGTACGTACGTTGCCCTGTTTTCTCCCAAAACACTACGATGTTTCAAAGCAAGAACCACTAAAATCTCCAAAAATCTTAATTACGATGTATTTCGTCCAAGAGAATTTTATAACAAATGTTTCCATCGAAATTTGCGTAAGACTTTGCAACGTGAAAGCGTACCGCGAGATCGCTATTACCACAGCAAGACCAAAATTCTTTATTCAGCAATGCCACACAATAAATAGATAACGGGCCGAAACATCACCGCTTTCGAAGCGATATAGGCTTGTTAATACAGACTCGCGCATCAAAACCAGTTTAAACCAGTATGAAACCTGAAATTATGCATCTCATTATCCAGATTCTTGGATAACGGCACTACAAAAGAAATACACGATTTCTGCAGAGTCTCCTTTCCTTCTCTCGCCCGTATAGGAGTTAAAAGGAGACTCTGCTCGCAGGGTATGATCACAACAGGTAAGTACTTCATTTATCACATGACCCATACGACCCTGTTCGCGCGCTCTAATAAAACCATTGGAAAAAGTCACGTGATGGGGGCCGGACGGCTTTGAGCGAGCAGGGCCGTACGCATCCATACGGCCCTGCTCGAATCCGCGCGCTTTCTCTTTTTTAGCTTTTATTTACTATTTCTTTCTTTCTTTTATTTTTTATTGATTTTTTCGTGAGGGTCATATGATAAAATGCTTATTGCCTGAGTAAGGTCGGGCCGTACGGAAAATTATCATATGACCCGTACGGCCCTGCTCGCGCGCTCTAATGAAACCATTGGAAAAAGTCACGTGATGGGGGCCGGACGGGTTGACGTAAGCGGGCCGGAAAAACCCGTCCGGCCCTGCTCGAATCCGCGCGCTTTCTTTTTCTTAATTATTTTTGTTTTCGTGAGGGTCATATGATAAAATGCTTATTGACTGAGTTAGGTCGGGCTGCGCTCGGTCCGTACGACATGACCTCGAGCCAAATATTTTCCCGTACGCCCCTCCACTCAGTCAATAAGTACATAGTATGCCTGATTATTATGTCCTGGCGGTATTCTTTGTGTTATCGTGCATGATGACGCTCTCCCACTGTATCCTAGTGCATCCACTGTATTATCTGTATCCTGGTGCATCCACTGTATTCTAATGCTGTATCCTACCGTATCCACTTTAGTGTATCCTACTGTACCCTAGTGTATCCAGTGTGTCCACTGTATCCAGCTGTATCCTAGTGTATTCAGTGTGTCTTAGTGCATCCACTGTATCCAGTGTATCCTAGTGCATCCAGTGTATCCTAGTGCATGCACTGTATCCAGTGTATCCTAGTGCATCCAGTGTATCCTAGTGCATTCACTGCATCCAGTGTATCCTAGTGCATCCACTGTATCCTAGTGTATCCACTGTATCCTAGTGCATTTACTGTGTATCCATTGTATCTACTGTATCCCAGGGGTTGCGAAGGGGAGAGAGGGGCATATATTTACTGAGTTATTTTTCATGCTTTTTTTCTGTCATTCCTATTATTGATTGCTAAATTAAGTCAGATCTGGACACATCCCGCCATACCACCTCCAAACATTTATGAAGGAACCGAAGCAATTGAGTGTACTGACAGCTATGTTAAATATTATGTAGTTTTATTATCATTTTAAGTCTTACATGTTGGTATCACTGAAATTCGTAACTAGAGTTAGAATGTAGTATACTGTATACAGTATGATATAATTATATTTCTTTAAGTTCTTGTAAGACATCCAATGATTAACTTTACTTAATGTCATAGCATAACAAAATTGGCCAAATGCTCTCTCTGCAAGACCTCAGCTAGGTTTGGAAGAATCGTTCGTGGGCACATTTTAGATGTTAAATGGAGCTTATAAACAAATCTGCATTTACACCTGTCCATCACAATATATATTTGATTTGCATCAACGGARGCACGAAAGAAATCGATATTTAAGGTTTTCAATCATTCCCAAGAGAAAAGTATAACAATAGACACGCCTGCCATGTTGGAGGATATAACAAAGAGACCCAAGAGAAAAGTATAACAATAGACACGCCTGCCANGAAAAGTATAACAATAGACACGCCTGCCATGTTGGAGGATATAACAAAGAGACCCAAGAGAAAAGTATAACAATAGACACGCCTGCCATGTTGGATGTTATAACAAAGAGACCCAAGAGAACAGTATAACAATAGACACGCCTGCCATGTTGGAGGTTATAACAAAGAGACCCAAGAGAAAAGTATAACAATAGACACGCCTGCCATGTTGGAGGTTNGAGAAAAGTATAACAATAGACACGCCTGCCATGTTGGAGGTTATAACAAAGAGACCCAAGAGAAAAGTATAACAATAGACACGCCTGCCATGTTGAAGGATATAACAAAGAGACCCAAGAGAACAGTATAACAATAGACACGGCTGCCATGTTGGAGGATATAACAAAAGAGACTAATTCCAAGTCTTTCGTTAAATCATCCAACATGGCGGCTATGAATATAAGAAATGGTAAAAAAAATCAAAATCATCTCCATCACAGTTTGTACTAAAGAAAACTGTTTTCGATTTGTTTTTTTCAAGCGATTCAATCTGCTTTGTTTGGCTTAACTTTGCGTGACAAACTTTGTCAGCACAAATCGCACAAGGAGTTTAGCCTCCAACTGAATATGGTTGTCAGCCAATCAGATTGTGAGAAAATGACAAGATGTTGTAAAAAGCTTAACGTTTATGGCGCAAACGTCGCAGTTTTGGAGGAAATGGCATAAAATACTTTGTAATATAAAAAATAAAATATTTCCCATCCAACTTTGTAACAGATATTCCAGCTAGCGAGGATTACCTTTCGTCACTAGCTATACATCATACTAGGGTAATAAGGTAATAAGGTCAAGCCAAACAACATGCCAAGAGTCTCCTCGATTTGTGCATGTGCAACT